AAGAAACCGAGGCTCAGAAGGGGAAGGACCTTGATCCAGTTCCCACAGCGAATCGAAGGCAGAGTTGGGGTCAGAACACAGAAGCCTGTGGAGTGCAGCTTAGGAAGTCTGATGGGGAGACAGACGGACAGGGTGGAGGGAGCGCCTCCATGCAGGGCACCCTACCCCTGTCCCTGGGACCCTGGCTCAGAGGGAGAGGGCGGCCCTGTCCCTACCCCGTGCCTTCCTTCCTGCAGTGTTCCCTGAGAAGCCCATCACCTTGACGGATGAGTGGAAGGCCAAGCAGCTCCAGCGCATCCTGGACATGAAGGGCAACCCTGTGCAAGGCCTGGCCTCCCGGTGGGACTATGAGAAGAAGGAGTGGAAGAAGTGACACTGCATCCCAGTCCCAGGCTACTCCCCCGGCAGCTCTCCCCTGGCCCGGAGCCTATGGAGCACCCCCTCCCCTCTCTTTCACCCCAATAAAGCTGGCCTCTTCTCTTCTGCTTGTCATCGCCACCTCAGTCTTTATCTGCCACAAAGCCTACTTATACCTAACATCAGGCAGTACAGTGGCCGAGGGGCAAGAACAAGCACGCTCCCGGGGCTCAGAGCCCAGCTCGCCAGGGAGGGCTTCCTGGAGGAGTAGAGGCGAGGGCTGAGTCTTGCAGGGATTAGGAAAGCTGGCAGGAGAGGGAAAGCATTCCAGGGGGTGGGAATGGCTTGAGCAAAGGCAAGGACACTCCTTTATTCAGTTAAGTAACACATACTTATTGAGTACCTACTGTGTGCCAGGGGCTTACTAATCCAGGCCTTGGGGATGTGGCAGTGGACAGTCTCTGGCCTCAGTGGAGGAGACGTTTCTTTACAGGGGGAGACAGAAAAGTAAGTAAGTAAATATATAGCAGGTGACCTGGTTTTAAGGGCTATAAATAAACCAAACAAAGTAGGATAGAGGGGGAGTTAAAGGGCGATTGGGGATTGTGGGTGAAGTTCTGAATGAAATGAGGAAACAAGCCTTGTATCAAAGACAGAGCAGCAAGAGCAAAGACTGAGGTGGGATTCTGGTTTGTGTGTTTGTGGAACTGCAAGGAGGCCACCCACGGCGACTAAAGTAGAATGACTTGGAGAGCAGCAGGAAGGTGTGTGTTGGGGGAGGGGGCTGGCCTTGGGTTAACAAGCAGATGATAAAAGCCTCATGGGAGTTTATTCTAAGTGTGATGGGAAGTGGTATCAGTCTGCATCCTCTGAGAAGCCAATGCCAAGGAAGAATGAAAGATGTCGGAGATTTGTTGAGGGTTTCCCCGTGTGAAGGATAAAGGAGACAGGGAGAAGGAGGGGGTGGTGAGACCCTTTAGACGAGTGGTTCTCAACCTTCCTAATGCCGCGACCCTTTAATACAGTTCCTCATGTTGTGGTGACCCCCAACCATAAAATTATTTTCATTGCTACTTCATAACTGTAGTTTTGCTACTGTAAACAATATGTAATTATATATGTGTTTTCCAATGGTCTTAGGCGACCCTGTGAAAGGGTCGTTCGACCCCCAAAAGGGGTCGCGACCCACAGGTTGAGAACCGCTGCTTTAGACTGTGACGCAGGCCTGACCGCTGTGGAAGGAGGGGAGGGGGGAGGGAGGATTGGGTAGGAAACGCCTTGGACTTCTGTGCATTGTATCTAAGTCCAACCAGGAGACAGTAATTTAATAGAGGCTGTTTAAAGGCCTATTAAGTTTACACAAGAGAATAGCTATAAAGATATAAAGATAACTTTAAAGAGTATCCTAGGGAGCATGCCCAAGAAGGACAGATTTGGAAGGGGGGTGCCTTCCCAAACTGGGGTTCAGACCTCATTGGAGAAGGTGCGGTTGAAGCCTACCAGTTGGCACAGAACTGAGCTGGGTTGGCTAGGCCCCAGCTGGGCCATGGTCACTGGGCAAGGACAGTTAGAAGTCCTCGGAGGCCCAAGGGCGCTGAGGCTGGTGGGTGGGGGAATTTGGGCACCTTTGTAGATGTGAGGCCAAGAGTGTGTGATGTCTACCTGCGTTAGGAGGGCGGCAAGAAGATGGTCCCCAGGCGTGGGGGCTGCAAGGTGGCTGATAGTCTGGGCCCGTGGCTGCGGCAGATCACCACCAGATGTCCTCACACACTGCTGACCAACCACACAGCAGGAGCAAGAACACACACACACACACACACACACACACACACACACACCCCAGAACCCGAAAGCCAAGCCCAGCCGTTCCTCCAGACATGTCCCCTCCAGCACCCTCTGCTGGCAGAGTTTAGCATCTCCCTGTAAAGGAGGCAATGCTCAGAGTTTGTTATCCTAAAGGGTGAATTTGGAGTTGAGAGGCAATAAATTGACAACTGGAGCAGCAAATCTGAGAAAGTCGTGGCCAATGGGGAGACCCAGAGGGACAAAAGGCCCATTAGAGGAGCCCACTGTGCTCGGTCCTTGGCTGGGAGCAGCCCAGGGGACCGTGGCCTCAGCGAAAAGGCTGCAGCAGAACCTCACAGGTTCTCTCGGAGAAAGATCTGAGCAGCACACCTCCACGGACACCCTATATGCCAATGGAGGAATCTAAAAGAGCAGTTGTGACAACAATACCCAGTGGGGCACATGTAGGATTACAGTTGTTCATATGGAAAAGAATACTATAAATACGAGTATATACAAGAATAAACTGTTTCACGTACTCATAACTGTAAACCTACTTTTTTTTTAAATAAATCTTATTGTTCAGATATTACATTTGTTCCTCTTTTTTCCCCCCCATAACTCCCCTCCTTCCAGCTCCACCCCACCCTCCGCCCTCACTCCCCACCCACTGTCCTCATCCATAGGTGCACGATTTTTGTCCAGTCTTTTCTGCATCTCCCACACCCCTTTTCCCCCCAAGCATAGTCAGTCCATTCCCTTTCTATGTCCCTGATTCATTATAATCACCAGTTCATTCTGTACATCAGGTTATTTATTCACTTGATTCTTAGATTCACTTGTTGATAGATGCATATTTGTTGTTCATAATTTGTATCTTTACCTTTTTCTTCTTCTTCCTCTTCTTAAAGGATACCTTTCAGCATTTCATATAATACTGGTTTGGTGGTGATGAACTCCTTTAGCTTTTCCTTATCTGTGAAGCTCTTTATCTGACCTTCAATTCTGAATGATAGCTTTGCTGGATAAAGTACTCTTGGTTGTAGGTTCTTGGTATTCATCACTTTGAATATTTCTTGCCACTCCCTTCTGGCCTGCAAAGTTTCTGTTGAGAAATCAGCTGACAGTCGTATGGGTATTCCCTTGTAGGTAACTGAGTTTCTTTCTCTTGCTGCTTTTAAGATTCTCTCTTTGTCTTTTGCTCTTGGCATTTTAATTATGATGTGTCTTGGTGTGGTCCTCTTTGGATTCCTTTTGTTTGGGGTTCTCTGTGCTTCCTGGACCTGTAAGTCTATTTCTTTCACCAGGTGGGGGAAGTTTTCTGTCATTATTTCTTCAAATAGGTTTTCAATATCTTGCTCTCTCTCATCTTCTGGTACCCCTATAATTCTGATGTTGGTACGTTTGAAGCTGTCCCAGAAGCTCCTTACACTATCTTCGTATTTTTGGGTTCTTTTTTCATTTTGCTTTTCTGGTTGGGTGTTTCTCGCTTCTTCGCATTTCAAATCTTTGACTTGATTCTTGCCCTCCTCTGGTCTGCTGTTGGGAGTCTGTATAATATTCTTTATTTCAGTCAGTGTATGCTTACTTTCTAGATGGTCCTTTATCACACCATCGAGGGTCTCATTAGATTTCCTGTACAACTCATCAAGTTATCACAGACTCTAGAAGCCTCTGAGAAGACCTCAAAAGTGTGGTTCTGAACTCAATATCCTCCCTTGATAGTTTTGTCCTGTTTCTTTGTCTCCGCATTTTTACGCTTTCTTGGTACACCCCCTAGTGGTCTTTGTGCGCAGTCTTGTTGTAGTTAAGCCTTGATTGTTATAGTTAATACTAGAGGGATTTGACCTCCAGGCCGACTGGCTGTGCTAATCTAGCCTTTGCCTGAGGCTATCCAGCAAATGCCTCTGTGCAGGGCTTGGGCAGGGCGGGTCCCACGGGATCAACAGGGCGGAGGAGGGAGCAGTTATGGCTGCTCTCAGTCCGTCCCCAGGGGCTCTGCCTCTCTGTCCCAGCAACAGCTGCAAACCTCGGAGGGACCGTAGCCAGACAGTCCTGCTTCTCCCGTTTGAGTCTGGGTCCCTAGAGACTCGCCCGGATCTGGAGCTCAGAGTCTGAGGCTCCCTCCGGATTGAAACAGACAACCGTGCCCTCAGCCACCAGCCCGCGCCTCGCGAACTCCGCACCTTAGTATTTTACTTCAGCACTGCGCCTCCTCTAATTCTCGGTTCCTCCTAGTTGTAGAACTTCCACTCAGCCAGCCTTCCTGTGGTTCTGGATGATGTCCGTTCCGTCTTTTAGTTGTATTTTTGAAGTGGTCGTTCGAGGCAGCAAACTCCGGCGTTAACCTATGCCGCCATCTTGGTTTTTTTCTGTAAACCTACTTTTGCCCACCCTGTATTCATTCAGCCAACGAATACTTATGGTGCCTCTACTATGTACCAGGCTCTGGGGACAGAGTGAATGAGACCTTATTCCAGTGCTCATGAATCTGAAAGTCTGCAATGGGGACTCAGCATTGATCAGACAGTCACCCTAATAAAGTATAGCACAAATAAGTGTTAAAAAAGGGAGGCACATGGTGTTTGGACTTACCAACAGGGGCTGGGGGAACTTGACTCAATCCGGAGCAGTAAGGGAGGGCTTCCCTGAGGAAGTGTCCTCAGACCTGAGAGATGAAAAATGACTGGGAGTAAGCTAGATGAAATAGGTGGTGGAACAGCATTCGAGTCAGGAAAAAAGCATGTGCAAAAGCCCTGTGGTAGTGAGAACCATGCATGACGGAGGAAATACAGGGAGCCACAGGGCTGTCAGAGGGGGAGGTAGAGGTGGACCAGGGGCGATAGGAAAGTAGGAGAATCATATAGGGCTTTGGGGTCTCTGCTGCCTCTACTGAAGGGACAAGTAGGGAGAAAGCAGAGAAGAGTGGAGCTAGGGGAGTCTGTTGAGGCCAGAATATGGGGAGCCTTGGACATCCATTTAATTTTTATCTGAGAGAGGCAGCTGCCTCGGTCCTAGGCTCTCGCTGGCACGAGGGATTCATTAATTAGTCACTATCTTAGCACAAGAGATGCTGGGGACCCAAATGGGAAGCACACAGGAGCCTTGACCTCCAGGTTTCCTAGCCTGTTGGGTGGGACAGCCATTCGGAAGCTAATGAGGTAAGAACTATGGAAATGCCCAGTAGTATATTTTGACCCAGACCCTGATGCTTTGCTAGCAGCAGGAGCAGTTTTGACATAACTTAAAATGTTGAAATATGCAGGCAGTAAAATTTGTTTAGATTCATAAATTGCCAAGGAGTCATGTTGTGAGCAACAAAGAAAATTGTCAAAATTGGCCCAGGGTAAAATTAGATGTTGTACTAAGTCAATCCCCGCGCCCCGCGCCCCCCCCCCCCCCCTGCAGCCAATAATGTTGTGTAACAAACAACCCAAAGCTTGGTGGTTTACAACTCTGAGCATTTCTGTTTATCTTTCCCGGGCCTGTGGTGTGGGTTGGCTGAGGCTCTGCTGGGATCTGCAGGTTTAGTTCCAGTCCGTGAGTTGGTATTTCTGTGTGCTCCGGGTGCCATAACAAATACCACAGATTCGGTGGCTTAAACAACAGAAATACATTTTCTCACAATTCTGGAGGTTAGAAGTCTAAGATCAAGTGTTGGCAAGGTTGGTTCCTTCTGATACTTCTCTCCCTGGCTTGATCCTCACATGGTTCCCCTGTGTGTGCATATCCCTGGTGTCTCGCTGTTTCCAGATTTCCTCTTCTTACAAGGACACCTGTCAGAGTGGGCTAGGAGCTTCCCTAATGACCTCATTTTAACTTCATCACCGCTTTAAAGGTCCTCTCTTCAAATAGGGTCACATTCTGAAGGATGAGGGATTAGGACTTCAACACATGAATTTGTAGGGGCCACATTTCAGCCCATAACAATTGGGTTGAGGATTATTCCATTCGTTTCCTTGTTCTGGGACCTGCATCCAGGGCATGTTCTTCTCATGGTAGGAGTCAGAGACTCCTGAGGGGGCAGAGAGACAGTGGGGACACATGATGCTCTTTTTAAAAATATTTTTTTAAATATATATATATATATTTTTTTTTATTGATTTTTTACAGAGAGAAAGGGAGAGGGATAGAGAGGTAGAAACATCTCAGCTGCCTCCTGCACACTCCCCACTGGGTATGTGCCCGCAACCAAGGTACATGCCCTTGGCCGGAATCGAACCTGGGACCCTTGAGTCCACAGGCCGACGCTCTATCCACTGAGCCAAACCGGTTAGGGCGTATTTTTAATGATTTCAGAAAAGAAGAGAGGGGAAGAGAGAGATAGAAACATCAATGATGAGAGAGAGTCAGTGATTGGCTGCCTCCTGCACGTCCCCTACTGGGGATTGACTCCACAGCCCAGGCATGTGCCCTTGACCGGAATCGAACCCAGGACCTTTCAGTCCACAGGCCGACGCTCTAGCCACTGAGCCAAACCGGCTAGGGCGACATGATGCTCTTAAAGCCCAGCCTCAGAACTAGCACACAGAACCAGCACCACATTCTACTGGCCAAAGCAAGTGTCATGGTGGTCTGTGACTGTTGGTAAAAACCACCCCAAAACTACAGGCATAAAACAACCATTACATTATGCCTACCAATTCTGTAGGTCCGGAATTCAGGCAGAGCATGATGGGAACTGCTTGCTTCTGCTCTAGAATGTCTGGAGCCTCAGCTGGAAACGCTCAAAGGCTGTGGCCACAATCTTCTAGTGGTATTTTAATTCACATCTGGTGGTTGATGCTGGCTGTCAGCTGGGACCTCATTAAGGGCTGTCAACCACAACACCTCTTTGTAGCATCCTCAGGTGGTCTTTCTGTGCGGACTAGTTGGGCTCCCTCAAAGCGTGGTGGGTTGGTTCCAAGAGAGCAAGAGGGAAGTGTATTGCATTTTTTATGACCTAGCCTTAGAAGACACATAGCGTCACTTCTGCTAAACTCTGTTGTCAAGGCACTCACAAAGTTCCACTCAGATGCAAGAGGGAGAGCACAGAGACCTCCCCACTTGATGGGAAAACATCAAGGTCACAACATAAGATGTGAGATGCTATGACATGGAAGCATTGTGGTCATCTTTGGGAAATATAGGCTGCCACCCACAGGCAAGCCTAACATCGATGGGCAAAAAAATGTCCTCCATCCAAGTGCAAATGGAGAGTGTGGGGAGGAAGGCAGAATTATGAGTAAAGAATACACCCTACCACAGAGGTGTAGAAATAACTAACACAAAATCAAGTTGGCAGAAACTAAAACTGACCATGTTAAGTTGGAAATTGACTAAAGTTCAAACAGAATGAAAATTTGACATTTAGATAATCAAATGTGACCTGGAAAAAATTGGACCAATTGAAGATAATGAACAGAGTAGATGACGCACAATGGCAGGAAACTGGTGAGATCAGATGTGAACTAACAATGACTGAGAAAAGAATAAAATAGTCCTGGTAGCACTTACTCCATGAAACCATGTTATTGTCATGAAAAAATTACTTTGTAAGACTAAATTTAAAATAGGAAACATTAGAAAGATTTTAACATTGGCATAAAATAACTGATCAAAGAAATTGTCTTCATGCAGCTTGCTCAAGAAAACTCTGTCTTGATGTATTAGAATAGTGTAATGCCAGAACCGGTTTGGCTCAGGGGATAGAGCGTCGGCCTGTGGACTGGGGGGTCCCGGGTTTGATTCCGGTCAGGGGCATGTGCCTTGGTTGTGGGCACATCCCCAGTGGGGGGCGTGCAGGAGGCGGCTGATCGGTGTTTCTTTCTCATCGATGTTTCTGGCTTTCTATCCCTCTCCCTTCCTCTCTGTAGAAAATCAATAAAACATATTTTTTTAAAAAAAAAGAATAGTGTAATTCTGATAAAAATTACTGGGTTCAAAACCCAGTCAAAATAGTCTTTTGATAAATACATCTATGAGGTTAAAACATTTGGGTCAAAATATCTTGAATATTAGAATTTTCTGTAAAAACCAGAGGAAAAAATTCCAAAGACAAATAAGGAACTCAAAGGTATTTATATGTATGAGAGATAAAGGGTTGATTTCTCTAATATGTTTTAAAAAAACAACAAACACAATCTGACAAATCAGTAAAAAAAACAAAACAAAAAAGGAATGCAGCCCGGCAGGCATGGCTCAATGGTTGAGTGTTGACCTTTGAACCAGGAGGTCATGGTTTGATTCCTGGTCAGGGCTCATGCCCTGGTTGCGGGCTCAATCCCCATTGTGGGGAGTTCAGGAGGCATCCAATTAATGATTCTCTCTCATCATTGATATTTCTCTCTCTCTCCCCCTCTCCCTTCCTCTCTGAAATAAAAAAATTCTATCTAATAAAAGAGTAATATGCAAATTAACCATCACTTCGAGATAAAGATGGAGGTGCCCACAGCCAATAAGGAAGGAATATGCAAATTGATGCGACAAAGATGGCGGTGCCGACTGGAGCCACAGAGCCAGCCTGAGAGCGGGCAGGAAGGCTTGGCATCCTGGGTCGCCCCACAGACCCAGGAATGGGACTAGGGGCGATCAGGCCAGGAGAGGAGGGCAGTTGGGGGCAATCAGGCCAGGAGGGGGCGCATTTGGGGGTGAGCAGGCCAGCAGTGGGGTGCAGTTGGGCATGATCAGGCCAGTGGGAGGGGCAGTTTGGGGCAAGCATTTCAGCAGGGGGCAGTTGGGGGAGAGCAGATTGGCGGGGGTGGCGATCAGGCTTGCAGGAGGCTGGCAGGGGGGGGCACAGGCCAGCAAGGGGGGCAGTTGGGGGTGAGAAGGCCAGTGGGGGGGGCAGTTGGGAGCGAGCAGGCTGACAGGCAGAGTGGTTAGGGGCAATCAGGCAGGCAGGCAGGTGAGCGGTTAGGAACCAGTGGTCCCGGATTGCGAGAGGATATATTCGTCCTAAACCGGCAGTCGGACATCCCCCAAGGGGTCCCAGATTGGAGAGGGTGCAGGCTGGGCTGAGGGACACCCTCCCCCCACTGCACAAATTTTGTGCACTGGGCCACTAGTCTATAAATATTTCAGTATGTGTCTCTAAACAATAAGGACTATTTAAATACATATAAGCAAAATATTATGAATATACATAAAAAGTCTTAATCTTTCCTTAATATCAAATATCCAGTCAGTTTACAAATTTCCCTAATTGCCTCATAAGTTTTGTTTATTTGAATTTGCTTGGAATGAGGATCTAAAGATTGAGTTGGCTCGTCTGAATCTTTGTCTAGTTTTGATATTAGGGTAATTCCCTTCCTTCCTCTTCTATTTTCTGGAAGAGATTGGGTAGACATAGTGTTAATTCTTCTTTAACTATTTGGTAGAATTCTCCAGTGAAATAATCTGGGGCTGGAAAGTGTTTTGGGTGAGAGTTTTTAAATTACAAATTCAATTTCCTTAATTGTTATAAGGCTATTTAAATGATCTATTTCACATTGGGTGAATATGGTAGCTTGTGTCTTTCAAGTAATTGATACATCTATGTTGTATTTACTGCTAAAAATTTCCCTCTGAGCACTGCTTTTACTGGATCCCATAAGTTTTGGTATGCTGTGTTTTCATTTGTCTCTAAGAATTTTCTAATTTCTTTGTGATTTCTTCATTGACTAATTGGTTATTTAACAGTGTGTTGTT